TTTGTTGTTAATAAATTAACATGTGTATTCATAACTTCAGTTGTTTTCTATATGTTGAATATTAGAAAGCTCACTTGTAGCCATCTCCATACTGAATTAAATTTGTGCATTTTTTTTTTTTTAGGTTTGTGACATCATCTTGAGCCATTCACAAGCATCTGATCAGAGCTGCAGGCAGACGTTCCTGCAGGTCTCCAGTTCACCACCATGGAGGATGCAATGCTGAACAGGACCAAGCTAAACATTGAACAGGCTTTTATGAGTTCAGGAGCTGCAGTGGTGCTGTGGAGCTCTTCGTGGAGAACAATCTGCATCTTCAGAGACTGTGACTCTGCTGAAGATTCTCATCACATCTGTTCTGACCACAGCTGAATCTGAAAGGAGCTGAACACTGAAGACAATCCAGACTTTCATCAGGTATAACATCACATCACTGCACTGACCATGCTTTATAAGAATCTGGTTAAAACATCCCTGAATTTAACCAGAGTCATGAAGAAATTTGCTTCTCAGTAACAGAAGAGCAAAATTTATGTACTAAAAATAAAACACTACATGACATTGTAATGCTGTTTTATTATTGTCATTTGTTTAATAAATACACTGGCGTGATACAACTTAGTACATGTTTGATTGCTTTTTGGGATATGTCTATTTTGGAGTTGTAGCCCCACCTGGAGAAAATTCCACCAGTCGCCACTGTCCCTACTCCTCACTTCTTTAAAGTAAATTAAAACAGAATGCAATGTGTTGCTAGTTTTATTTAATTTAAAGTATTGTCAAACAAAACTATCTACTTAACCATATATTTACCTACAAAAAAAGAAAGATAAAATCCTTACTTAACTCCTGACAGAGAAACAGAAAAGTGATGCTTGAACAAAAAGTACCATTTTTTTAAAAATCTCCTTCAATTAGTACTCACTGTAACGTGCGAGCTATGAGGGCTGGAAACCTGCCCAGTGAGAGAACCACTCAAACAACTTTGGAGCACGGGAACTTGTCTCCGTTTATTCAAAGAACTCTCCTCTCTTCTCTCCATACAGGAGAGGAAAAGCAAAACAAAAAACTATCCGGGCCAACATGGCTACCACAAGAGTGCCGCCCTTTTTTCAAAGTCAAAGCACACAATATAAAACTCTCTCATTTATATTATTACAAAAAGTGACTTAAGATGGTGCAGATTCACAAATCAACAAAAACTATTTCAAACCTCAATCTCTGTGCAGCATGCAGGATGTTATTTCATCTACAGGTGTTGAAGCCCTCAGTCCCTCACTGGTCCAGACTGCCGGCTCCAGGCCATTCAAAGTGTTCCACCTGTTTCACCACCTATCAGACAAGACACACTCACACAGCCACGTTAGGTACAGAAAACAAGGGCACACCCAAACTGCAAAATAAATAAATAAACACAAAGGTGCCAGTAAGTGTATAACACACTATTCTGGTCCAAAATGTTACAAAAAGAAAACAACATACAGACTTAACAAGGACACAACTTTTTATGCAGGCTATATAAAAATAAATGTATTTCTCTACCTTAGTGGCACTGGGAGGAGGCGGCCAGGGTCTCATAGGCACTTCCTTCATGTTTAAAATCTTCCCACACAGTGCCTGTTGGTGGATTATGTAGTGATAGTTCAAAATGTCTGAAGAGTCATTCTGCTTGCAGAGTGCAACAAACGCACTGGTGTGACTGGTCATTGCTGGAGCACCATCAGTTGTTATGGAAATGACTTTATAGAGGGACAAGTTGCTTTTATTAATAATCTTCATAAACACAATAAAACTATCTTCTCTTGTGTGTCACTTCAAAGGCAAAGATGGTGAGGAGCTCCTCTTATGAACTCATGTCTGCAAAGGCCATTCTGATAAAACCACACAGCTGGACCACATCATGTCGGTCAATCCATCAAACTGAAGAGAGAAACAATCACAATGTGCGATGTTCATTTTTTTAGCTGCTCCTGCACATCCATATCCACTCCCTCACATTGCTGTGTCACAGTTTGTCTGTACAACTGCACGTCTTTAATAACAGACACATATCACTTTTACTTTTAAAACCATGAAAAAGCGCATCTGCAGCCTCAATAAATGCTTCTTTCATAACTTCTTTCATAACAAGACTTCTTGTGTTGAGCCATGATGCGGCTAACACGGTATGAGGCTGTCGTAGCAGCCTTACCTTGTGCTGGGCCGAGTGAAAATCGATTGCTGGGCTAAAAGCTTGTTTTTCGGCTCCCGCACTTTCTGAGTCCGTAAAGAACTTTTAGGAGGGGAAATCCATCTCGTACCATTTGTGCATCGTCTTGAAATGTTGCTCCAAGTTATCCTTTTGGATAAGGCAGTGCTCGAATTACATATGAGGCAAATAGGCTTTGAATTAGAAAAAAACAAAAAAAATAGTCCTCCCACKCTGGGTGAAAATAAAAACTTTTTGTTTCCTTGTTTGCTCATTTTTCATCCATTTTTTCCACACTAGTAACCAACAACAACTCGTATTACTCCACTTTGATTTGAACACGTGACCCTAAAATCTCGTGAGATCATGTTCTTTAAGGTTAACCGCTGTTTCACTGCACCCAAAACTTGCGAGACTACGACTACGTCTGTGAGAATTGACAAGATGGGGAGGGCGGAGGGAGCGCGTTCAAGGCTGGAATGTGTTTAAACTCCTCCCACCTCCACCGTTTCTGCTGGATTTAGAATGAAGCTCAGCGAGCGGACATGTCCCGGGCCGGTGTCCTGACAGAACACCGGCTCGTCAGCTGTTAGAGCAAAGTTGCGCTCCGTGTTCGACCGGGAACCAGCCGATGATCGACTGGTTGGGCACCCCGATGTAGACATAAGAAAAATCTTTATCAAAATATTTTTCTATTTTTTTCTTCCATAAATTTATTAAATATATGTATTTTATTTCCCCCTGTAGACAAAGCTAGACCTTGGTTCTCCCAAACCTCCATGTAAGAAGGTTCTGGAAGAAGAAGCTTCAATGGGCTTTGTCTTTATTCCTCCTGAGACAAAGGAGCGGGTTCTGACTGAGCACCAGAAGGAAGTGAAAAGAACCAAAAGGTCAGATTACTGAAGCTGCTATTTATTTTTTAAATCTTAAAAAGTTCTGACATGTTCCAGTATTGAAGTGATTGTAATTTGTTTGACACAGAGTTGACATTCCTGCCATGTACAACAATCTTGATGCTTCTCTGGACACAACAGTTTTCACTCAGTACACGCAGAGCCAAAAAGACTGTCTGATGTAAGTCTAACTTCTGTGATTATGATAAATTCATCTTTTGGGTTTGAAATGTACTTAACAGGATTTGTTCTTACAGGGACAAAGTGCCAACTGAAAAAGATGACATCAAAGAGGTTACTGAGGAGGTAATGAAACACACAACTTTAATGCTCACAGAAAAAGCACCCACAAGGGAATCTATTGTGTCCTGTTTTTTTTTTTTTTTTTTTTTTTGTCTGATTGACTATTTTTGATCAGTTCAGGATTTATATCTGTTGGGATAAATTAATTTTCAAGACACAAGGAATAACAAGCAGCATATCTGGTTGAGCTCTTTTTTACTTGCCGCAAGGAATTCATATATAGACATGGTACAATCACATACGATGTCAGTAGCATAAACTGACTTTCTGTACAACTGTCAGACTTTTTAAAAGTCCCCTTCAAAGGGGGCTGAGTACATTCCTGTTATACAACAATGCAAGCTCATGTTCTCCCCAGGTATTGCAGTTCCTTTATCCAGATCCACCTGTCTAATAGCGGTTGTAAAAGTAACGCCATAATCCAAGTTAACAGTTTAGGAAGTCATGGATCAACAGCTGTACCTTCACTCTAACAATATACACTGGTGTGAAAAGTGTTTCCAGATTTTTTGCATGTTTGTCACACTTAATTGTTTCTGAACATTAAACCAATTTAAATATTAGTCAAAGACAATACAGGTAAACACAAAATGCTGTTGTTATTTTTAAGGGAGGAAAAAATTCCTAACCTATATGGTCCTGTGTGAAAAAGTGATTGCCCCCCTTTTTAAAACATAACTTAACTGTGGTTTCTCACACATGAGTACTCTTGTCTCTAGCCACACCCAGGCCTGATTATTGCCACACTTGTTCTCAATCAAGACAACTTAAATAGGACCTGCCTGACAAAGTGAAGTCCACCAAAAGATCCTTAAAAGCTACACATCATGCCGAGATCCAAAGAAATTCAGGAACAAATGAGAAAGAAGGTAATTAAGATCTATGAGTCTGGAAAGGGTTATAAAGCCATTTCCAAAGCTTTGGGAGTCCAGCGAACTACAGTGAGAGTGATTATCCATAAATGGCGAAGACGTGGAACAGTGGTGAACCTTCCCAGGAGTGGTTGGCCACCCAAAATTACTGCAAGAGCGCAGCGACAACTTATCCAAGAGGTCACAAAAGACCCCAGAACAACATCCAAAAACTGCAGGCCTCACCTGCCTCAGTTAAGGTCCGTGCATGCCTCCACCATCAGAAAGAGACTGGACAAAAATGACCTGCATGGCAGAGTTCTTAGACGAAAACCACTGCTGAGCAAAAAGAACATTAAAGCTCGTCTCAATTTTGCCAGAACACATCTTGATGATCCCCAAGACTTTTGAGAAAACATTCTGTGGAACGATGAGACAGAAGTTGAACACTTTGGAAGGTATGTGCCCCAGTACATCTGGCATAAAAGAAACACTGCATTCCAGAAAAAGAACATTATACCAACAGTAAAATATGGTGGTGGAAGTGTGATGGTCTGGGGCTGTTTTGCTGATCAAGACCTGGAAGACTTGCTGTGGTAAATGGAACTATGAATTCTGCTGTCTACCAAAATATCCTGAAGGACAATGTTCGACCATCTGTTCGTGACCTCAAGCTGAAACAAACTTGGGTTCTGCAGCAGGACAATGATCCAAAACACACCAGCAAGTTCACTTCTGAAAGGTTGAAGAAAAACAAAAAGAAGACTTTGTAGTGACCTACTCAAAGTCCTGACCTGAATCCTATTGAGATGCTGTGGCGTGACCTTAAAAAGGCCATTCATGCTCGAAAACCCTCCAATGTGGCTGAATTACATCAATTCTGCAAAGATGAGTGGGCCAAAATTCTTCCAGTGCTGTAAAAGACTCATTGCAAGTTATCGCAAACGCTTGGTTGCAGTTGTTGCTGCTGAGGGTGGCCCAACCAGCTATTAGGTTTAGGGGACAATCACTTTTTCACACAGGGTCTTCCATTTGATGACATGATCGGGCACCTCTGCATCTGCAGACAAATTCACTCATGTACTGACCGCTGCTCCCAAACTTGTGTTTTGGTGTTTTTCAGAATCTTCAGGAAGATGAACAAATGAATAGGGTGGTTAAAGTTCTTAATAAACAGACTGAAGCTAACACCACTTCTAAACCTGTTGAGGAAATGATAGAAAACCGTCCACAGGAGGGAATTTTTCCAGACTTTATAAATGTTTCTATAGAAAATTATACAAACTGTGATGAAAGAGCAGAAGATGTGGACATGGAGTCCAAAGATGAAACAAATGCAGACACATCCACCTCTCCAGATCTTGTTTCTGGGACTCCACAGAAACCTAACAGTCGTCGCCAAACATTCATCACTTTAGAGAAATACAGTGAGGGAAAGTCTGCTACCCCCACCAGTATGTCCTTATTTACAGGTCCTCTTGAAAAGAACTCCAACAGTCCAGATCATTCCAATAATGACCCAGTGTCCACTGAGGCTTCTCTAATGTGTACAAGTCCAAACTTTCAGGATTATCCTCAAAGGGAAAAGATTAGCCCACAGTGCTGTATGAGCGAGTCTCCTCAAAGGCCTAAAGACTCAAAGACAAAAAGTGCTCCTGTAAGACTGATTGAGAGACTACCTGGTGACTCAATAGATAAAAACATTATTCCTGACACACAGACTGGGTGCAATGAAAGTACAACTGTGGCAGACGAAATTAAACCTTCAAGCCAAGAAAAGGAATCTGAATCAGTGCTGAATGGTTCTCAGTCGTCTTTGACCCAGATGTCACCAGATGAACCAAAACCACCCAAAAGCCATAGAGTCAGATCTCAGCTCCTGGGAGAGGATTCTGGGGAACACAGAGCAAGAAACGTGCAGTTTAAACATAAACATTTTGGAGAAGATCTCAAAAGTGAATCTCCAAATACAACACCAAGCAGACCACACACAAGGAGTAAACAAGCAGCTGAGGAGAATCGTGGCAAAGACAGACTGCGCTCATGGTCTCAAAGTAAAATGCGCAATTTAAATCAAACCAACTCTCAAGAAAGGCATCGTAAAAAAATCAAACTTTTCAGTACTTCAGGGAACTTTTTTGATAATCCTCAAATCAAAAGAAACGTCAGTTCACTTGAGTCCAGCCAGACCATCAGTACTCCAAAAAATCTTTCTAGTCCTGAAAGTCAGAAAAGGCATGGTCGTTCTCGCAGAACATCAAAACAGATAGAGGATGAAGGTGAGAAGAATAAAGAGGAGTCCAGCCAAGCTGTCTTAGATTGCTTAAATTTGAAAAATGAACAAGAAGCTGATTCACAGACAAATTTCCAGGAACCTATCTTTTTCCCTCAAACTGACGGCAAGATCCACGACCCTGAAGTCAAGACTGAAAAAGATGAGAATCAAAAAGAAGAGTCTGAAGCTGATTTATCTTCACGTCAGTGGGAGGGACAGGTCCTGGAAAAGGTAGATTTTCATGAAGCCACCACTCCAGCTAATGAGTATCAAGATAAAACAAACATCTTGGAGAGTGATGAAATGAAAAAGAATAAATGCAAGACAAATTTGGAAGAAAACCTTAGCCAAGAAAATAATCTAAAACGTAGATGTACACAAAGTGAATCATTGTCTGAGGCTGTAGAGTATAAAGACAAAGATGACAGGAAAATTTCTATACGACCGCGAAGAAGTACTCAAACAACGCACGCTGTCACTCAGGCTGAAGCTGAAACTGGATGCAGAACCAGAAGGAGCAAAGGGTCAGCATCCAGTCCTAGCTTTACCCCTGATGGTTCTCAATCATTAGAGTTTTCTGGATCAGAGTCCTCACAAGGCAGAGGCAAATATTCAAGACAAAGAACATCAGCAGCCAGCTTGAAATCCACAGAGTCTGAGTCCTCTGAAATCCAGAAGAATTCGCCCATTCCCAAAAGGAGAGGGAGGAAGTCCAAAGCATCTCTGCGGAGTCCTCTTACTTTTAATTCTGTTGAGGAAACACGTGATCTGGCAAAAAAATGTGCTTCTCAAAAGACTAATATTCAGACGTTTGGTGCAAATATGAACTTGGAATCACCAGAAACACAAAATGTGCTGATATCGGAACAGGTCAGAAATAATATTAAAGGGCAAGGTGGGACAGAGTCACTAATGGTGACAAAAATGCAAGCTGTTCATACAGTGAGCACTGTTGGTCTGAAAAAGACTGAAAGTGGTGACACAAAACAGGGCACCAAGTCACATGGCAATGCTGAACAAACATCAAAAACAGATGGTGGCAGTAGTTCCTCACAAGGCAGAGACATCTTTGAACCTGTTGGCCTTGGTAGCAAGCAGACAGAGAACACTTGCTTCTCTGCTGACAACACTATGTTGCCTCTTAATGAGAAGTTGCGAGTCACAGATTTGTTTGAGAAAAATGTTGAAGAGTTACCTCCAGAAAACAAAGTGAAGGAATCAAATTCAGGCCGCCATGATTTTTCTAACACTCCAGAACCAGCGGGGCAACAGCAAAGAGATGTTAAAGAGAATGAAAAGCAGTTCATCTCAAACCTTCCTTCTGAGAGGAGAGCTGAGAAAGACATTTGTCCAGCAGAGGTTGATGATGTCTGTAAAAGTACAGCAATGGAGAACAAAGAACAAACTAACTCTACCAACATGGAATGTTCTGATGTTGGTCTATCTAACTGCAACCCTTTGGAGCCTTCAGAATCTACAATTCAGGACTCTCCGGTAAAACAAAAAGAGCTGGAGGCTGTAACAGAGCCAGATGATGGGCAAAGCCCCAGCAGTGGACAGGCCAAAGGAACATGGTCTCCATCAGCTTCCCCCTCCACCAGTATTCTCAAGAAGGGTCAGAAAAGGCTAATGGAAGTGGAGGTGACCTCTCCTCCTGTTAAGGTAACAAATACAAATTTTGATTCAGCAACACAAAGTTGGAATTTCTGTTTATAAGTTTTATCTCTTTTCAACTTTGCAGTCCCGGCGTGTCTCTTTTGCTAATCCAATCAAACAGCAGGAGATGGGAGGTGACATGGATCGCCGCACTGCTGTGAGAACCAGCTCCCCTAGAAGATCCAATGTCAGCATCATCCCACAGCCAAAAGTATGCATGCAGTCAGTATTGCTATATTTTTCGTTTCTGTGAAACATTGATCTTCAACAGCAATTTATGTCTCATTTCAGCATGTCACAACTCCGGTAAAGTCGATGAGTCCAAGAAATCTGCACAGTCCTAGTAACAAGTGCTCCAAGAAGTGTTTGGTATGTAGACTTTGAAAAGGCCCTTTCAAGGGAAGCTCAGACAAACAATAGCTGGTTTTCAGTCCCGTGGTTTCGAAGGCGGAGCGATCTCCGCTGGAGGGCAGGAGGTAAAATGTCTATGGAGGACACTACTGTAGAGAGTCTTTATTGTATGGATTTAGGTCCTATTTCAAGATATATAACAACAATTTGTTCACAAATATGTCAGGCATGACTCGTATGATGAAGATGAATGAGTTTTCTACAGAACCTAAAGATTTGCTGAAGCTGTCTGTACCACATACTCTTATGGTACGTTCACACCGAACGCGTTTTGAGCGGCAGGAGCGGCCGATTCACATGCAAAGTCTGGTGGACGCGCCTCTAGAGGTCGTGCGTCGTGTCACGTACGTTTTGGGTGGCGTGCAAGGAAGGCGGAAGGGGCGCAGAGCGTTTTCCACGCATGCGGTGCTGCGGAAGCAGTTGCTGGCCGAGCCTTGCCAGAGTTCAAATATCTGAACATTTTGCCGCTCGACGCGTCTCCCACTGAAAACCGAAACAGACGGACTGGAGATCTTTACCTGAAATCGACCATGTGCAATTGGATTTTCTGGCAGGATATATCGGCACCATCAGCTGGCAGCTTCTGGAGTGACGAAACTAACCGAACAAATCGCCTCTAAATCATCTGGTGAGTTAATTATCTGCTGTGCGCAACGTTCGCTTGCTTTTTAGTAAATAAATCAAAGCCATTTTCTTTTATTTTATCTTTATTCACCCGCTGAGGAGACACTCCTCCCACACCACGCTGCTGCTGCTGCTGCAGCTGCTGCTTCTCGTTCTGGTCTGAACACTAGTGCGTTCTTCGGTCTGAACATAGTGCGTCCAACGAGAGGCGTTTTGCACTTTTTGGCCGCTCAAAATGCGTTCGGTGTGAACGTAGCATTACATCACCAAGTGCCAAATAATAACCAGCCAAGATTTGATCTGATGAATAATTCCACACGATTCTGCCCAACCCTATGACAACATATGATAACACTGATTATCATACACAAAGATGAAAAATGTAGAAAGCTCACAGAACGACAATGTAAAAAGTGGATTTTAAAGCATCTGCGGTCGGGAGGAGCATAATGCTGGTGTCTGCAGGCAGCGGCCACTATATCAGAGGTATGTTAGCTGCTAACTTGTTTTAAAGGTTATGTTTATAATGATCGTTTATTTAGTAGTGAGTATTAAGTTACTGGTAGTTTAATGTGGACCTCATCTGGACTTTAGGCTGCCCTAGTTCTGTGTCGTTTGGTGCTGGATGTGTGTTGACGTTAGCGGCTACTGTTAGCATGATCGTAACATATAAAACAATATCAGAAAAAACACTCACCCTGGCAAAAAACAAATGATAATCATTATGGAGTTGTTTGGTACCGAGGTTTTGGATCCACCCGCTGAATAAAAAGTTCTACTCCTCCCGTTTTTTACGTGGTTTCATCAGCTGTTGGGTGTAGTTAGCATCCAGTTAGTGCTGCACCGTCTGCCCCGGCAGACTGGTAACGGGACCGTAGAGTCCACTCGGTGCTTCTTCTCTTGCCTCTTATAATCGAAATAGTGAATCACCTTCTTCCTCATCAAAGTCCTCACTCTGTCTCCGACTGTTTTTCCTCCATCTCTGCCTTTGAGCTCCTCTGTCAAACTGCGGCTCGGTCCGGCTTGGTCCACCTGTCCGCAGCTGGACTGGAGCTCCACATTCATAGCCCTTTTTTTTTCCATCAGAGACACTAAAATAACTAACTAAACTTCACCGTAACTATGAAATATAATTATGCAAATATAATAAATGTAATAAATTCCGGATATGTCATTGCTGACCTCCTATCTCGCTGTCTCTCCATCGCAGCCGAACTTTATTCAACTTCCTCCTCTTTTTATTTTTATCCTCCTGTAGATTTTTTGCTGCTTTTCTAATATTTTCAGGCTTCAGTCAGAAAGGAGTTTAGGTTGGTTAGGCTTGTTCGGCAGGGTGGGGGTGAGACCAGAGAGTGGAATGAGGTGTTTTTCCCCCATGAATCAGCCCTCTTTTACATCCACCTGCTGCAACATGCTTCAAATATGACTAACATTAATAAAAAGAGCCATAATTTTATTTAATTTAATATATAATTTAATCAGTGTATAATTATTTATTATTAATTCAGTTAGAATGAGTGGAGCACTCGTAAACTACACAAGATATGAGCATTTTTTCAGATTGCAGATACTCCACTTTTTCACTTCTGACCTCATCCAAACTTCGCGCTCTAGTGGCACTGCATCGTGACGTCACGTGAAACCCTCCTATTGCACCTATGCAGGGCTCTAGAGTGCAACAAATTTGGTTGCAAATGCAATCTGATTTCCTAACAGTGCGACTAAAAAAATTTCTGGTCACACTGGTGCAACCAGTCGTTCTAGGGGTTGGGGGAGCAGTCACCCGCCAAAAAAAAGTTATCATCAAACAATTTAGCAGTATCAACAGAGCCCTAGGAGCAGTGGTTCCCAAAGTTGGGGTCAGGACCCACAGTAGGGTCTTGAAACATCAAGGTGGGGTCCTGAAAATATTTTTTTAATAATTACACAAATAAATGACAACTAAGAACATTTTTTCCTGTATTTAATAAATAATAAGATTAATGTACTTAAAATGGACAAATATAGCATACTAAATTATGACCAGACCAGAGTTGGAAAAACATTTTTCTTGTGGAGATGAAAAGAAGATGTGGACAGTTGCTTACTCTTAAGTCCATCTTGCTAATTTAACAGTGCTCTGGGAGTACAGCAGCTGATCATTTCAGCAGAATGAGGAAGCTCACCTGTATGGCAGGCTGCTTTTACAGTTAATCGGCTTCACCACAGTTACATTTAAGTACCTGAAATCGTTTTTATCACTAGAGCTGTTAAAGTGAGAGATGCCTGAGATTCAACTACTGCTAATTAAATTGCATACTTTTTCATGTTCTGTAATTTTTGTTAAAATAAAGATATACACCCTTTTAATAAATAGTAATATTTCTACTATTAATCATTATTGTCTGTTAATCATTCTGGTTTGGCCAAGGCCGAAGATCCAAAAGGCCAAACTACAGGAGTTAGCCATCTAACTAAATTATTTGGGAGTTAATATTGCCGTAATGGACAGTGATTAAAAAAATGAAGATGTAAACTGCCGATGTTAAATGCGACGTGGTTGAAAATTTGGGTGCACCTAACTTTTGTGCTGAGGCACTTAAGAAAAAAGTTAGGCGCACCGGTGCAGAAAAGGCAAAATGTTAGTCTAGAGCCCTGCTATGAGTAATGTGGACTAGTTTTATGGCAAGTGTAGACACTTCAGTAATATGTCTCCTTAGAACAAAACATTTAAAATTTTGATAACCTTTGGAAAAACAAACATTTTGCAACATTGTGTTTTGTTGTCTTATTCAGAAAGAAATTGTCATTGTGTCATACATGTAAATTAGGCAAATGACAAGACAGTGGTGACTCCTCTATTTAACCATTTTAATCCTCAAATTATGACACAGAGAAAAAAAAGTCATACTGTACATGTATTCATTTTTGATGTCAGTTAACACAATTAGGTTTTTTTTTTTACGTTGTCAAAATTGCTTCAAACGCTTCTTTAACCTCACAGTAACTTTTCCACACACTAGTGTTCCTTTGGGGGGGAAATTGGCCCATTATAAATGCATTTTTTTATCCCATATTTAGCAGTCTAAGCCTTCTGGAGAAACTAATGTATTACTCAGGAAACCAACTCTATAGGATTTATCAAAAAGGAAAGGCTTAAGTCTAAACTTTTTCATCACAATTGAACCCTTTGTTAAAACTTTGTCTCTGATCCAGCTTGACATCCAAGAAACGTACACAGTCTAAGGAACAAATGTTTTGACATTTCTATCTTTTCATCCACAAAACAGTCTGCAGCAAGCTGTCCATGGTGTAACCCCACAAACATTTAGGATAGAAAATGTCCTCAGACTGTGGCTCCACATTTTTAAATTTTTATTAAGACCACTTCCATCAAAGAAATCTTGAGTGGTCCTGGTGAAGTCTACTCCTCTGATCATAAAATAGTTTGGATAGGCCGGATTTTGATTACTCTGACAATTTACTGACAGGCATATACAGTATGTACTGTGTTGGCAGGATTTTGAACACAAACACTGAATCGGAACAGAAACCTGATACTGGTCTTGGTGTATCTGTAAATGAAGCCTGGTGAATTCAGTCAGTTGCTAATACTTATATTAGAAGGTGTGTAGCTACTTCTTATAAAACTCATGTCAAGGGCAAGTAAGTGACTATACAGGTCCTTCTCAAAAAAATTAGCATATTGTGATAAAGTTCATTATTTTCTGTAATGTACTGATAAACATTAAACTTTCACATATTTTAGATTCATTGCACACCAACTAAAGTAGTTCAAGCCTTTTATTGTCTTAATATTGATGATTTTAGCAAAAAAAATAAAGTAAAATCAAAAATCCCTATCAAAAAATTAGCATATCATGAAAAGCTTCTCTAAACGAGTCATTAACCTAATCATCTGAATCAACGAATTAACTCTAAACACCTGCAAAAGATTCCTGAGGCTTTTAAAAACTCCCAGCATGGTTCATTAATCAAAACCACAATCATGAGTCAGACTGCTGACCTGACTGCTGTCCAGAAGGCCATCAATGACACCCTCAAGCAAGAGGGTAAGACACAGAAAGACATTTCTGAAGGAATAGGCTGTTCCCAGAGGGTTGTATCAAGGCACCTCAGTGGGAAGGAAAGGTATGGCAGAAAATGCTGCACAACAAGAAGAGTTCTCAGTCAGTGATGGTCTGGGGTGCCATGTCAGCTGCTGGTGTTGGTCCACTGTGTTTTATCAAGGCCAGGGTCAATGCAGCTAGATTTCAGATTTTGGAGCACTTCATGCTTCTATCTGCTGAAAAGTTTTATGGAGATGAAGATTTCATTTTTCAGCATGAACTGGCACCTGCTCACAGTGCCAAAACCACTGGTAAATGGTTTACTGACCATGGTATTACTGTGCTCAATTGGCCTGCCAACTCTCCTGACCTGAACCCCATAGAGAATCGGTGGGGTATTGTGAAGAGAAAGTTGAGAGACGTAAGACCCAACACTCTTGATGAGCTTGAGGCCGCTATCGAAGCATCCTGGGCTTCCATAACACCTCAGCAGTGCCACAGGCTGATAGCCTCCATGCCACGCCGCATTGAAGCAATTTCTGCAAAAGGATTCCCCACTAAGTATTGAGTGCATAACTGATCATAATTATTTGAAGGTTGACCTTTTTTGTATTAAAAACACTTTTCTTTTATTGGTCGGATAAAATATGCTAATTTTTTGAGATAAGGATTTTTGGTTTTTCTTTACTTTTTTGCCAAAATCATCAACATTAAAACAATAAAAGGTTCGAACTGATTCAGTTGGTGTGCAATGAATCTAAAATATATGAAAGTTTAATGTTTATCAGTACATTACAGAAAATAATGAACTTTATCTCAATATACTAATTTTTTGAGAAGGACCTGCAATTCAATTACTATGTGAAAAAAATGTGGTAAATGAAGAGCAAGTTCATTTGGATTCTCTGTAGAGTTTGAAGACTTTATTGGTTTCTGTTTCATTGTATAGCATTTATTTCCCATCCAGATGTCTGAAATTATTCAGGAGCCCCGAGACATCCCTGCAGACTGCATCTATCCAGCTCTGGTGGGCTGCCCTGCCCCCGTGGAGGCTGTGCTGACTCAGCTCTCCTCCACTATGTGGTGAGAACAAAGCACACTTTAGATGAAACTGTCGCGCATCCCTTCTTTTAACTTCATATGCAGCTGAAGTAAAACTGAGGCTTCTTTTTGATAACCTGACAGGTCTCGTGCCTTTGGGCTCCTAGTGCGCTCCAGAAAGATTAAAACGGTGGGCGACCTAAGTGCCCTTGCTCCTGCTGATGTCAAGACTCTGCCTATTCGATCCCCAAAGATTTCCAGCGTCAAAAAGGCACTGAAGGTCTATGAACAGCAGGTAACAAGCAGGTCACACGCTCAGTTATGGAAAAAATTCCAGTTGAGTTTATTTTRGTGAACATTGTAAACTTGTTCAATTTGGACCATTAACATTTTTGCGCTTATAGAAAAGTAAATTGTCTTGAATATGAGTTTTTTTTTTCTTTTTTCTGAAACCTTCCTGTTGATTTTTAACCTTAAAAAATGAAAAAAAAAGGATTTAATTGTAGGCTATTGTACTATAAATAAACTCATCATTGTTGACTACTTCAATTACAGTGAAGGACTCTATGAATGCACTCTCAATAGGCAAACCATTCCACCCCTACAGAAAGATATCCTAACTTATAGAGTGCTTTTAGCAACATAAAAACTTATTTTTTTTTTTTCCTTCCTCGGGGTTTAAAGTTTTCTGTTACCATGACGGATTTCTGACATTTTGAACATGGCCAGGACAGATTTCTATCATCAGTAATAAAAAGAAAAACAAAACTGGTTGTTTTCTGTTGCGGCCTCGTTAAAGCCGCCCAGTGTACCCCTAAACGGGACGCTACTTTCAACAAATCAAACAAACCCTAGAGCACTTTTATCCTGCAGAGCAGGGTGGGTCTTTCAGTAAGACCAGGTGCACCAGAGACTGCAGGAGTAGCTGCAGGCGCAGCGGTCATTCCTGAGTGAGTAGACATCCTCTCCTCCCTCACTTCGCTCTGGAGCTTCCCTAGACTTGAGTCTCTAAAACAGGGCCATTCAACTGGCAGCCCCGCGGGCCACATCCGGCCTGCGAGTGACCAAAGTCTGGCCTGCCAATTGGTTCATTCATCTCTTAAGCCCAAATCCCCTGTTTTCTACTTAAATTACTCAAAGTTCTTTTAGTTAAACATTGGCTTGTTTGGTGTCTACAGAAACATCAGAATCGTGGCTACAAGCTGGTAAAATCATTTCTATGAATATCTAAGACAGTTAAAACTACAAGCAGTTAAAGATGAAAGTGAAAGTGAAAATAAAATTGGTTTAAAAATTTGGCAAGTCAGAGATGTCAAAATATTTTTTGTGTTAAAGAGCCATAATGTTAAATTTTTGTTTTTGATATTGTTTAATTATTTTATAGGGTTCTGCATGTTGTATTCATGACATATCTTTCTAATACTTGGTTTATTTACATTATAACTTTTAATTGCTGGATGTTCTGCCCCTGAGCTGTTGGCCTACAGTAACTGTGGCCCCCAGAGCAATTTAGTTGAATAGCCCTGCTCTAAAACCTAACTTTTTATTAAATATTTTTGTTCAGAGCATCGTTATCCAACAGATATGTCCAACTTTGTGTTTTTGACCAAGCTCTTTGTGCAAAGACCGCTGCGCAACATTCAAAGTTTGTCAAGCTTTTGCCCTCCTATCCTACAACATTTCAAACGTTTTCTGCTACATATCCTTTTGAAAAATACTACGTAAGCGCCAAGTATAAACACAACCAATGCTGACGAGAGTGCGCGTGTGCCCTGCGCAAGTACTCAACTGAGTCTTGAGAACGTTGACACAGGCATGCACTGCAATGCGCACAGTCTGTGAGTCTGAGATTCACTGTTTGAGTTTTTCTAATTAAACAATATTGACTAACAGATGAACATATTTTTGCCCCATATTAAAGCAAAGATGAATCTCCGTTTAACGTTTATCATCCCCCACACCCACACACACACACACACACATACACACACACACACACATACACACACACACACAATCATCACTATGTTCTCTAGGTGAGTGTTTCCAATGTTTTTGTAGTTTATCATAAGTATACAGATTTTATTCTTCACATTTTAATAGGAATAACAAGGTTTTGCATGTGCTAAGCCTATTAATGTTTAGAACCATACTTTGACAGAACTGCTCTGACAAATTGATAAATGTAATTCAATAAATGATCAAATATGAAGAATTAATTATTTTAAATGATTGCATGAGCTGTAACCATTTAAATATTATAATCTTTTTAAATTACTATGTTAAAAAATCAGTCTAATAAAACAGTTTTAGTTATTTTGTGCTGTGCAAAAGACGTGCTATAAATTTTAATATAAATTAAAGCACATACACACATGTGTTTGCACTGAAAAGTTATGGAGATGGTAAATATTAGTATGACTATATCTGTCACAGGACAAACAAAAAATGTTATTTTTAATTAAAACACTACAATGACATAAATATAACTACAGAAAAGCTGTTCAAAGTTATGCTCTAACTTAGAAATCTCTTTGGTCCAAATAGTTCAGGTTAAATTATTTGTATAATGTTTGATTAGTGAAAAAATACTGTGTACTTTGACTAAGGATATGCACATAATGTATAATGTTAGGAGGATAATGTATACAACTCCTTAGTCAAATTACATTAGGAGTATAAAATACTTGTGTGTGGTGGTGGAGCGCAGCAATTTGGACAAAATATTTCAGTCAAAACATGATTTTTTTCGCTTTAACCCATGCTTTCTACTCCACATAGTTCTGTTGAGTGTTGTCTTTTGTTAATGTAAGAGTACTCACACCTCATGAGAGTTATAAGGAAATTATTTATCAAGGGTTCTTATTAGGGAAAATACTAGGGATGGGTACCGAATTTGATACTTTTTTAAGGACAGACCGAATTCTGTCGGTACTACCGAGAACCTATTCACGTAGCACCATGCTTTGGTACCTAAACGCATCATTGCAACTGTATTGGCATAAGAGTGGTGAGTTTTCCATGCTTGTCCTGAACGCAGCATCATGACGTCAGCAGCCGCTGGTTCAGTAAACAAAGCTCAGTCTGTACTTAGCTTGAAAGCGAGTCTCGAAGCTCGCTCCTCATGGAGTAAAACACGCCGGACAGACCGCCTCTGAATTATCTGGTGGATTAATTATCTTGTGAGCCGTGTGCTTGCTCAAAGTAAATAAAGTACCGCAACTTTCTTTATTTCATCCACCATTAAAGGGAGACCGGCAGAGGAAAACAACAGGCGCTTCCCAACAGTCCGAACGTGTCTGATCTGAAGGAGCACAAGCAGCCAACTTGAAGCGTTGGACGCGTTTTGGATGCTCAACGTAGCTTGAATACCTTTTACTTATGTTAACTCAGTCCTCTTTTGCTTATTTGATTTAAATTTATTTGCCTTCCATGGACCTCCATCACACAATTGTTCTAGCGGGGAAATGACATCAATAGAAATACATGGAGCTGGATTTTAATTTGTCCAATAAGACAAAACAGTCTTGTTGTTTTCAAGAGTTTTCACCTTAAAGAAATTAGTTAAAAAACTGATGTTACAATACTAAGAGTTGGATGTTGTCTTGATATTTTTTAAATTTTATATATTGAGAAATATGTTAAAAAAAAGTTTATTATAAAAAACACACACACACAAAGTACCGAAAATTGGTACCGTTAAATACCGGTACCGATTCCCAGGTACCGGATATTGGTACCAAATCGCTTCAAATGCCAAAGGTACCCATCCCTAGAAAATACCTCCTTTGTGCAAAGTGAATAACACTACGTAGCTCAGTGAATTTGATTTTGGTCCAGCAACAAACAAGATCATTTATTTACATAAAATAAACTAATTATGAGTGGACAACTTAATTGTGAGCAATCAATTTTCCTATAAAAGTTTAAGAATTAAGAACAATCAAGCACACGTCCGAGCTTAATTAATTATTTAATACTGTAAGAAAATTATGTGTTCAATAGACTGAAGTCAAGTCAACATGAAAACCACCAAAGTTAAATAATATGATTAGTAGAAGGAATAAAACCATACAAAACCAGAATCTGGAACTGAGTGAGGTTTATTGCCAAGCGGAGCTGACAGGAAACCACACTGACCAAAAGCCAGGAAGTGCATCAATTTATACATGATTCTTCAATGCCTGAGTTCGCCCCCTACTGACCTACGGCTGAATCACAGGCATTCATACAAAAGTCTCAATCTAATGTTATAATAACGTTTCAATTGTGTTGTTTATGATTCGGACATGTATCTCACTCTATATCAATCAACCCATAATAGATCAAACATTATAAAAAGGAAAACCTAAGAATCTTGTGTTGTGCTTCTAACATCAGTACTAACCTGTAATAACTATAAATTTCTTCAATACAACAAATTTAGAAACGGCAAAACATCAGGCTTTAGATGTTAAATAAACCAGAACTTTTGCAGGTATTTAAACGTAGGTTTTGGCAAGACGGATAAGTCAAGGAATAGGAGGAAAGGAGAGTTAATTAGTTTGTCTTAAAGAACGTAGGTTAGCCAGAAAGGCAAACATTGTCCACTTGACTTCAGCCAAAGCCAGGACGCTAGTAACAAGCCAGCTTTTACCTTGAAGATGACAAGTAACCCATCACAGTCCAGGCAATATGAAGGTCGTGGAGTGGGCAAGGAACGTTGAGCTTCTAAAGCCTGAAACATACTCGCTCCAACGCCGACGGGTCGACGCGCGGTCACGTGGTTGATCGGCAGTCGTTTTCGCACAGGCTTTTCATAGTCGCTGCGCGGAGCTCGGGGAAACCCCCCTCCCACTGTACCATATGTCACTGCATGGAATTTCCCCTGCAACAGCTGACAATCATTGCAGAAAAAAAAGGCTCGTCACTCACCCAACGTATTTATCCATATCTGTCCTAGTTAAAGCTCCAAAGTTTTTATCAGTCAGATTCCTCCGTGCACCTCTGTTTTATCTCCATTCATGAGTTTTTCACAGTGACTATCTTACAAAACTCTACTTCCTGGTGTCAGCTCTGGGAGCGAGTTGGGTTTTTTCCCCTCTTTTTTTTTTTTTTTTTTTTTACGAGTGCAGCAGCACAAACAAACAAGCCATAAGTTTTTCACGGTTTGACTATCTTATAAAACTCTGCTTTCTAGTCTGGGAGCGAGTCGTTCTTTTTTCTTTTTTCCCCCCCCGAGCGCAGCACAAACAAAGACGCCCACGAACTTCAGACCAGTCACACATTACCGTCGACACGGGAGGGATGTCAAAA